TATAAATATTTTGTAATTGTAATGATTTTTTTTTTATTTCAACAGTGAGCTACAAAGACAATCAGATTATGAATGAACAGTATGAAAATCATCAACATTGACATGTTAGTATCAAAATAATATTTAACTGTTATCAAAACGTAGTTCAACTGTAGAAGTTGCACTACTCTGTTGTCTCACTGAAAGAATAACTTTTACCACGTTTTTTTCAGACAATATTGAGAGATAAATAGTAGCAGTTCTCACTATGTGTTAAATATCTTTGCCTTCAATACATTAAATTAGAAAGCTGACAAAACCATATTTCTTTAGCCTTTATTTATACAGGTGTAGATCTCATTGAGACACAAGGTCTCATTTTCACACAATCATATTGCTTGTTAACATCTAAATGTAACCTTTTGCATGGAAAAAACCCTCAACTTAACTGATGTGTAGGTGATCTAGTATTTAGTATTGTTTAATGGAATGTATATCAGTGTATTCAAGTCAATACTTCATTCATTTAAACCAATATCTTTCTTGATTCTTTGTACAGGTGCTGAAGTTCACTGCTGTGAGGAGTCCAGTTCTGTCTCTCACTCTCTGGTCCAGCCTGTCTGCATCACCTGGACACCTTAAACAAACAGATATATATGTAAAGTACCATGTGTACAAACAATATAACTGATTCTCTTCTGTTGAACATGTTGGATTGTGTATTGTCCGAGTCAGGGTCCTTTTTATTTTACTGTAACTTTGGAAGTTATGTTACCAATGCTTACTGTTTATTTGATACCCATTTGGTAATGAAATTAATAAAAACAACAAGGTTTGGGTTCGTTCTTCAGATGACTGTGACGTTAACGTGTAAGCTCAATAATGAACTCCAGCTCAACCAACCATATTGTAATATCTAACCTAATCATCTTGAAATATGACATTATTATTTGTAATATACACACATCTTATTGTGAGGTTGATTTCACATACACTACTTCGACATGAGCTTGTCTACATACTTGAGCATAGCCAATTTAAATTAACCTTAGCGATGCATACAGTTCCTACCTACATAATAAAATATCTCTCTAAGTTACAAGGATGACCTTATTTTATAACCTCAAACAGAAGCCGTTTGTTCTACAGTATTATCCCACTTAACGCTTAACACTTGTCTATTTCGTTTTAACCTTTATATATACAGTCTATGGTTTTAACTTGGAGACTACTATTAGCATCGTTAGCACCGATGTAGCTACCACTCACTTACACTTTAACCCAAGCCTTAACATTCATTACGTAGCTGATTCAAATCATAAACACATCAATAAGTACTCGAATTTCACTTACCGTAAAAACCGCATTCATGCACCGTCTGTTTCAACCGCAGAGCGAGTCACAATAGTCCGATATATAAGCATGAAGAACAAACAACCACGGCCGGCTTCAAGTTGTGTTCCCTGGATGAACTGAGCAGGCAGAGTCCCTGTAGCTAGCTTCACGGAGCAGCTTGCAGAGAGACGAGAAGCTAGCAGCAGCAGTCACTTGACAGAGCTGTCACTCAATGTGACCACGCCCTAATATATGCATAACTTTAAGGTTTAATATTAATTAAACAGATGAGTTGAGAAAAAATGCACCCCCCACACAGTAGTCATGAAGGGGGAATCTAACTATACAGAGAATATGGTTTTTTGAACCACGATGTAAACATTTTTATTTCTGCTGTAAAGTTGGGCCTTTTAACATGGGGGTCTATGGAAATGACTCCCTTCTGCAGACTGCTCCTACTGGCCACTAGATGAACTGCAGTGTGTGGCACTTCCGTATTGGCGTCCCGGCTTTTCCCCAGAGTTTGCCGCTTGGTTAATACCATAGACTGTATATATAAATGGACGTAGAGTCCGTGACGTCACCCATAGGATTCTGCAGAGTTGCCGTGAAGCCCTTAGTAGGCGGAGTCGGCCACTAACGGCTCGACAGTGACGCCAGAGTTGAACTCCCGCCTTCTCCAGCCTACTCCAAATAAGGGCAAAGAGGCGGAGCCGAGGCGGGACCTGCTGCCACCGAGCTGGAAGTTCCAGAGCTAGCTGAAGCTACCAAGCTAAGCTAACATGCTCCCCATATGCACGCTGCCGTCGCATTTTACGTTTCTAAGGTAAGCGGACATGAAACTATTCAGCAAAACTATAAATAATAATCTAAGTTATTGAGCTTTTAGCATAATACTTCAGAATCTTAAAACCCCTTAACGTTTGTATGCAATTGTGCTAAATTCAACACTGGAATCAAGCAAATATTAATATGTTTGCATGACATTAGTTATTTATATTTTGATATCACTTAACTATACATTTAAGTCAAGCTAAGGTACATGTGATGGTAGCTAGTTAGCGCTCTTACCTGTGAGGCCTCCTCCAAACAGCATAATAACCAGACTATCATTAAAACTAAGTACCAGTTATAGATCCTTGACTTTAGACAAACAATTCAAAAGACAAAATGTATTTAAAGACCAATCTTTATTTGAATGTGCCTCTTAACCTGAGATATTAGTTATACAGTAATAGTATTGACAATCTAAAAAAACTGAGCAACTCAACAGTCAACTTTATGTTTCTTATTGTCTAAAGCATTTATTATTTTCATTTTCCCAATCTCATATTCAGTGTGGACGGATTGAGACAGCATGGTGTCCAGAGAGCTGCAGAGACTTCAGGGAGAAACCTCCGTGTGATGGACGTCCTGTCTGTTGGTTTGGAGAGGACTGAGGGTCTTTCCTCTGCAAGGAGGACCAGGGCTGATGAAGGAGCCCATGCTGGGCAAAGCTGATACCAACTGCACAGGCCTAGTCGGTCACTTTATTTGACTAAATGTGTTTAATACATTTAATAGGTTTACACCTTCTGTCCATATGTGCTTTTGGTTCACATTTCAATAAATTGTATTTGTATTTGCTCTCCTTTTGTCTATTATTCTTACTGAAAATGTTAGATTACACATTCACATCTGACTGAAGATTGGCCCCATTTATTTGTGACGTTGCAAAACAAGGTACATGTTGTGAAGCTCATAAAGTGAGGCAAATAGAAATAATCAGCTGATGGAGTGTAGATGTGGAAATAGCTGCATTCGATCAGCTGACTGTTTTTACAATAAAAGTAGTTTCTTAGTGAATGTCCTGTACTGGTCTTAAAATCTCATAACATCAGCTTTTAATGTTCCTCTTGGATGTTCTTCTTGACCCTCAGAGAAGGAGAAAATGTTGTGTCTTTCAGGCATGTCCTTTCCTAACAAAAATGACAGGAAACATAAAACATATTATTGCAGAACAAGTGTGTTATTTATGAAAGCGGTGTGTTTGTGTGTTTAGGGGCTGTAGATATCATTATTTTGTAATTGTAATGTTTTTTTTTTATTTCAACAATGAGCTACAAAGACAATCAGATTATGAATGAACAGTATGAAGTTCATCAACATTGACATGTTAGTATCAAAATAATATTTAACTGTTATCAAAACGTAGTGCAACTGTAGAAGCTTGCTCTGTTGTCTCACTGAAAGAATCACTTTTACCACGTTTTTTACAGACAATATTGAGAGATAAATAGTAGCAGTTCTCACTATGTGTTAAATATCTTTGCCTTCAATACATTAAATTAGAAAGCTGACAAAGTCATATTGCTAAATATCTAAATGTAACTTTTTGCATGGAAAAAACCCTCAACTTAACAGATGTGTAGGTGATCTAGTATTTAGTATTGTTTAATGGAATGTATATCAGTGTATTCAAGTCAATACTTCATTCATTTAAACCAATATATTTCTTGATTCTTTGTACAGTATGAAAAAAGAGTCTTTGTACCTGAGCTGAAGTTCACTGCTGTGAGGAGTCCAGTTCTGTCTCTCACTCTCTGGTCCAGCCTGTCTGCATCACCTGGACACCTTAAACAAACAGATATATATGTAAAGTACCATGTGTACAAACAATATAACTGATTCTCTTCTGTTGAACATGTTGGATTGTGTATTGTCCGAGTCAGGGTCCTTTTTATTTTACTGTAACTTTGGAAATTGTGTTACCAATGCTTACTGTTTATTTGATACCCATTTGGTAATGCAATTAATAAAAACGTCAAGGTTTGGGTCCAATTTAAATTAACCTTAGATGCATACAGTTCTACCTATATAATAAAATATCTCTAAGTTACAAGGATGTAACCTTATTTTATCAACCTCAAACAGAAGCCGTTTGTTCAACAGTATTATCCCACTTAACACTTGTCTATTTAGTTTTAACCTTTATATATACAGTCTATGATTTTAACTTGGAGGCTACGATTACAATCGTTAGCACCGATGTAGCTACCACTAGCCACTAACTAACCCAAGCCTTACCATTCATTACGTAGCCGATTAAAATCATTAACACATAAATAAAGCACTCGAATTTCACTTACCGCATTCATGCACCGTCTGTTTTAACCGCAGAGCGAGTCACAATAGTCCGATATATAAGCATGAAGAACAAACAACCACGGCCGGCTACAAGTTGTGTTTCCTGGATGAGCTGAGCAGGCAGAGTCCCTGTAGCTAGCTTCACGGAGCAGCTAGCAGAGAGACAAGAAGCTAACAGCGGCAGGCACTTGACAGAGCCGTCACTCAATGTGACCACGCCTTAATCTATGCACAAACTTTAAGACCTAATATAAATAAAAGGGTCGCGTTAGAAAACAATTCACTCACAGATCCATAATCATGAAGGTGGAATCTAACTATATCGCTAATAAAATGAATGGAGCCAGTGGTAGAAACATGTTTTTTTCTGCTGTAAAGTTGGGCATTTTAACATGGGGGTCTATGGAAGTTGCTCCTTTCTGCAGCCATCGCCTATCGGCCAATATATGAACTGCAGTGTGTGGCACTTCCGTATTGGCTTCCCGGCTCTACCCCACAGTTGCCGCTTGGTTAATACAGAGTCTAAAGAGTTAGAGAGAGTGAATAAAGAGGGGACAGACCTGCTCTGTGGATCTGAAGCTGAGGCTGTAAAACAGCGTCCAGTAGTTTCCGGTGTCTCTCGTTCTCCTGTTTTGAACGAGACAGTTCCTCCTCGTACTCTGCTATCGTTCTTTCAAACAGAACAAAGATGTCTTCAGCAGCCGCAGTGAGTCGCTGCTTCACCAACGAGAGCAGCACAACACTCATGTTTACTAAATCACCACTTCCCGTTTCTCTCACTCTGTGTTACCAGCTAGCATGCTAAGCTAGCATGCTAAGCTAGTTTATGGAGTCCGAGCTAAAGAATTCAGAAGAAAGAGCACAAAGTCAGAGGTTCATCCAGACACACAGACGATGGATGGATCAGCTGCTCACACACACTTCCTCATATCAGTAAAAACGAGAGAGAACCCACGAGACGCGATCTGGTTCCGTTAGAAAGAGCGGGACCATCACTTCCGGTGCATCACTTCTTCTTCTTCTTCTCCTTTAGTGTTTATTGGCAGTTGGCAAACCGAATTGTAGGTGCATTACCGCCACCAACTGGACTGGAGTGTGGACAAGAGACTATGCAGAAAACAATAAACAAAACAAACAAAACAAAGAACCAAAACTCTATTATTTTTACATTTATCAATTTCTCTTAGAAACGTAATAATCTCACAATACATATGGCCTGGTTTTTCCCTAACAGCCCTGATCGCGACAAGTCATGGAATTTTTCTTTCTTCAGTGTGTGGAAAAGCACATTTCTCTGAGTACTATATTTCCTGCAAAGCAGTAAAACATGCTCAACAGTTTCTGGCTGGCTGCAGTGTATACACTTTCCGGTTGGATGCTTTGCTATTATACTTAATGTATGATTGAGACTTGTATGACCTATTCTCATCCGAGAAATGACATTTTCCTCCCTTCTTTTAAACCCCACCTTCCTTCCATCCCCCACATACCTTTGAATGTTATAAAGATGTCTTCCTGTATTACTAAGTTTGTGTTGTGTTGTTTGTGCATATTTCTGAATGAATGTTTGAACCTCCGCTTTGCTGAGTGGAACTTCTATGTCTATGTTCATACTTCTGAGTGTTTGTTTGGCCAGAATATCCACCTGTTCATTACCCTCCACACCAACATGAGCAGGAACCCAGATGAAACGAGTTGCTATGCCTTTGATTTGCATTTGATATAAAATTAGAAATATTTCATTTATGATGTCCATTCTAGATGAAGATCTGCCTGATCGTATACTCGATAATGCTGAAAAGCTGTCAGATGCAATTACACTGTTATGTATTTATTTCTCCTCTATCCATTTCAATGACAGTACCAATGCCAACAACTCTGTGGTGTATACTGACACATGGTCTGTTACCCTTTTCTTTATATGTGTATTACTCACTGGGATATACACTGCTGCCCCTGCACGCCCTGTCTCTGGATCTTTGGAGCCATCTGTAAATATGATTGTTGAGTCTGAGTGATATCTTGTAAAATAATTCTGGACTATGCGCCATACTGGTAGTTCTTTCTTTTCCTTTAACTCCTCTCGTATATTGAGGTCTGCACTTGGCAATGGGAACAACCAGGGTGGAATGGACGAGATTGGAGCTGTGGGGCAATACTGTATTTGATTCAAACCTATACTTGCTGCTTTAACATCGCCAATCCATCCAACACTTGTTAAATGTGACTCATTGTGCTCCCAGCAATCTTTCAAAAAATACTGCTGATACTGGAGATGTTTTAAAAGCTCCACTACATATTCTCAGGGCCTGAGCTTGTAGGACATCCAGCTTTTTAAGGTTTGATTCTGCTGCTGCCATGAACGCTATACACCCATAATCGAATACAGGTCTCATGAGTGCCCAATATATATTCAGAAGTGATGACCTACTCGCTCCCCACTCCTGCCCCGCCAAACACTGAAGTACATTGTTGACCTTTTTACATTTATTTTGAACTTTTCCTATATGATTGCTCCATGTTAGCTTTCCGTCAAACCAAACACCAAGACATCTTATTATATTAACCTGTTCAAGAGGTTGCTCATACCATTTTAACGATATAGGAGCAATGTTCTGCCGTTTTGTAAAACAAATGACCTGCGTCTTAGCTACTGACAGTTTGAATCCCCATGTATTTGTCCATTTCTCCACTTCAACTATTGCAGCTTGTATTTTCTTTCCAACATGTGCTACATTGCGGCCTTTTGCCCACAAAGCCCCATCATCTGCATACAAAGATTTCCCCACACTTGGATGAACTTGATTAAAGATGTCATGTATCATTATATTGAGCAGCAACGGACTACACACACTACCTTGCGGAGTACCATTTTCCACAGCATAAACACTTGAATATTCTGCACCTACTCTTACTTGTATTTTCCTGTCCAGTAAAAAAATCATAACCCAATTATATGCTTTACCACCAATTCCCAATGATTTTAACTTGATTAGTAGTCCTTCCTTCCAGAGCATGTCATAAGCCTTTTCAATATCAAAGAAGACTGCAATCACTACTTCCTTGTTGGTCTGTGCTTTCCTGATGTCTGATTCTAAGCACAATATAGAATCCATTCTATTCAGACCCCTACGGAACCCACTTTGATATGGGGACAACAGAGCTTTACTTTCTAAGATATATGTTAACCTTTCTGTAACCATTCTTTCCATGATTTTGCATAAATGAGATGTCAGGGCAATAGGCCTGTAGCTAGATGGATCTGAAGGCTCTTTCCCTGGCTTTAGGATGGGCACTATTATCGCTTGTTTCCACTCTGAAGGAAGTTGGCCAGAATCCCACACCCTATTAAACAACCTTAACACAATGACTAGAGAGTTATCTGTCATGTGTTCCAGCATTTTGTAACAAACACCATCTTTCCCAGGAGTGGTTTGGTGAGCACTAATAATTGCTCTTCTCAACTCAAACATACTAAAATGCAGGTCCAACTGATCCCCTAACACTTCTACTCTATCCAATATTCTCGGGTTTTCCATTCGTGTATTATTTCTGCACTGCCTGGCTTCCTCTGTAATATTATCTGAACTATGAACTTTCCTAAATGTTTGAGCTAGAAGTTCCGCCTTTCCTAAGTTTGTGACAGCCATTTTGTCCCCTCTGCTCAAAACTGGCAACTCATAATTCCTTCGAATTCCCCCCATTCTCCTAATCATGCCCCAAACACCTGCAAGCTGTACTTCTCTTCCAATACTATTGCAATATTGCCTCCAAAAAGTGCGTTTTTGCGTTCTTATTGTTCTCCTTACTATAGCCTGGGCCCTTTTATCCTGATTCAAAGCTTCCTGAGAATGGAGTTGTTTGAGTTGCCTGAATGCTTTATTCCTGTCTTTAATGGATTTGCTACATTCACCATTCCACCAGGGTACACTGATGGTACACCTAACTCATGCACTTTCCGGAATTGTTTCTTACCTGAATGAATGATAACCTTAACCAGCTCATCATTGAATTTATTTATATCATCATAATTTTCCTCTTGAAGTGTTTTACATCTATTCGTACTTACAACTTGGAAGGCATCCCAATTAGCCTTTCCCAATTTCCATCTAGGAATTTTCTTTTCCTTTTCAAACCTTATGTTGGTCCCAACTTTAGTCATCACCGGATAATGATCGCTGCCCACTGTAGTATGCTTTACCACATTCCATGTACTTATACCTGCTAAAGCACTAGATACAAATGTCAGATCGAGTACTGCTTCTATATTCTTCGTGCAATTATATTGTGTTCCTTCTCCAGTGTTAATACACACTAGCCCGTGTTCATCTATAAATTCTTCAACTACTGCACCATTTGCATCTGTGCTACTGCTTCCCCATAGCGAGTTATGTGAATTAAAATCCCCACACCATATTACTTTGTCTTGCAGTGAACCCCCAGCATCCTCTAATATACTTTGATCTAATTTCCCACATGGATTATAATAATTTACTATATCTTGAGGTCCTCTATCATTCCATACCCTTATAACTATTGCTTCATGATCTGTACTTACATGCATAACTTTGTAACTTATCCCACTCTGTATGAATGTTGCAACTCCTCCCCCTCTGCCAGAGTCCCTATAGCTCGTCTAACTGCAGTATATCCCTTCACAATAAAATCCAGTTGTGGTTTCAGCCATGTTTTATTGAATACAAAGAACATTAGGTTTCTCTCCCAGGTTGTCAATATATTTTTTTAACTCTTGTCCATTTGCAATTAAACTTCTAGCATTCCACTGCAGTACAATTACCACCATCAGGATGATCCAGTCCATGTCTGAGGTTATTGGACGTCATCATTTAGGATATCTTTCACGTTTCCCCAGTGCATCCCTTTCACATCAAGGTACTTTTCAGCTGATTTGACAATTATTTTGATTCTTTCATTCTTTCATGCTTGTAGTCTGCGGTGAACAGCCATAAACAGTACAAACTCTCTTTTCTCACTATCAGAGTGTCCTCCTTCAACTTAACACAGTTGTGGACTTTTCCTGTTTCTTTGCTCTTATTGTTGTTTCCCATTTTAACCTGCGTTCCTCCTGAAACTGTCTTTGCTGCCTCTGCATAGCTAACTCCCTGCGTCATCCTGACTCGCTGCACCTCTTCTGCTTTCTTGCTAACCTCACATCCCCGGTACGCTGAGCTATGCTCCCCTCCGCAATTGCAATATTTCAGCTTTGCCCCTTCTTCGCATTTGCCGTATTCATGATCTCCACCACATCTGCCACACCTTTGTTTTCCCTTGCACACTGCCGCCACATGTCCAAATCTCTGACATTTAAAACATCTTAGAGGTGGTGGAACATACGGTCTCACATCATAACACATATATCCAATAAGTCTCTTTTCCGGAAGCCTTTTTTCATCAAAGGTGATCAGAACCGAAAGACTATCTTCTTTAATCCCATTGCGGTTTGCTTTTGATAGCTTTGTTCGTTATTCTCGCGTCCAGGAGAGAAGCCTTAAAAAAGGAGACTAATGGAGTCTCTGAAAAGGTTCAAATGGGTACTTTAATTAAAATGGCGAGGTAATGTTACAAGCAGAAGATGGTTCAGAGAGAGGGAAGAGAAAAGCTCCCTCTCTTGCCCCTTTCACACCAGCGCTTTTTCAGCTCCGGCTCGGAGCTGGAGCCTGAAAAGCGCCGGTTTTTCCTGTTCACACCGCAGCGGCGCCGTCTCTTAGCTCCGGAATCCGGTTCACTTCCAGCTCCAAATTTGTTTCGGTCTAGAGGCAAGAGCTTCGGAGCTAAGAGGTGGCGTCGCTTACGTCTCTCTTACGTCGAGGCGTGCAGGAAACTAAACCCACCTCCCCTGAACATGGGTCGACTGTCATGCCTGCCTACAAGCAGTAGTGCTTATAAACATACTTTATAAAGTCAGGCAACACTAACCAGGCTTCGTGTGATTCTGTTTATTTGTACCTTACTTTGACCATCCGTTCATTGT